GCGGAAGAGGAGAGGAGAAGAGAAATTGATTAAAAAACGAAGTTTGACTTCTGCTGGGCCAAAAAAGCCCAGAGTGGCATGTGGATAGGTTATATTGCTTAAATAATTCTTTATTGTTAATTAATTATTCTTATTAATCTTCGAAAATATAAAAAAAATACTTTTTTTTGTATATTGTTGTAAATGTATGCAATAACATATAAATCATCCGAAGAAGTAATATTTAAAATATATTTGTGCATCCCGATTTAATACAACCCAAAATCTTTCTAGGATATATGATGAACTAATTAAGTATCCTATCAAATCGTAATATTTGCTTAATGTTCTCTGCTAGGATCATTTCGTTGTGATTCATTTTTAGATTTAGGCGATCACTTATAGATCTCGTGTAAAACACAATATTGGTTATTTCAAAAACCATTTTTGGGAGAGAATAAATAAGATTAAGGATTTCGAATAAATTTCTTTCGGTCGAAATCATTTGACAGATTTCTTTGAACCCCATTTTGAAGACAATAAAAGTTTGTATATTAAAATACGGAAAATCATGCTAAATTAGATTAGATGATATTTTTTTGATTTCTTTTGAACATAAGCTCTAGGTACATCCCAACTCGGTCATATTATCAAAAAAGAATTCTTTTAAGCTTTGTACTCAAATATTGTAGTATTGCTATTCTGTGATTCTTTGGGACGATGAAAGATCTGAATCAAATCGTGCTTCACCAAACCAACACAAAGTATTACATAATTAACAATTTGTACAGTTTAATTTCTACAAAAGAGTCACTTGTAATATTACAGAAAAAACAACAAACGAAGATTGCCATAACTGTTATTACTGCGATATGAAGCACTGTTGACTGTGACTGACGGAGGCTTAAAAACCGACACAGTATCTAAAGTACTGCGAACAAGCACAAGTATGCATTTACGAGAATATAAGTGCGATTAAAGATACCAGGTATATACGAGTATGTATACGCTTATTTAAGTGCTGACAGGGTTGCACAGGCGCAGCAAACAGAAATGCAAATAATAAGTGGGTGTTTGTTATGAATTTCGACTCCACTGCACTTCTTTTGCTTTCATTTCTCTTTTCCATACATTTTCGCTTTTTATTTCTCTTTATTTGCCTCGACTCACCCACCTGTTGCCAACCGGGAGCGAGCATTCACTTGCCTGTTGCATACAGTCATATTTACTTAACTTTGGACTATTGGAGCTTTGTATGTAAAGAATTGTGGCCGTGTATATAACAGAATGTTGGCAGCACATAGTGAAGGACTTGGTAAGCGTACGCTTGTCCGCAGGGCATCCGTCAACTTCTTTAGGAAATTACATATAATTTTGTCGCCATAATGAGGGGCGTGTTCGTGATCAATAATGCGGCAAATATTAATGCAAAACTTCGGAGTCCACTTGTGATGCAAAATAAAATGGGGCAGCGTTGTTTGAGAAATGTAAGAATTAATATAGTGTATATAATATATATGCAAATTAAGCGCGCTTTCAGTCTCAATTATTATATACTACTTACATATATACATATACATAACGGAAGCTAATGAGCACAGTGAAACATTTTTAAAGATTTTTAGTCTATTAAAAATGAAAATGTTGGCAGGCTAAGAAAAACAACAACTAAGAAGGAGTAAAGAGAGAAAACAAAAAACAAATATAGGTGAGAATAACAAAGAGGTAGAAATAGGGTCTTAGTAAGTCAAAAATATTGGTTGTAGAGTGTGTACGTCAAAGCAAAAAAAAACATGATTTTTGAAAGAAAAGAGAAGAACATTTAAGAGTTATGAAAAACTCTGTTTAAGAAACTAAAATTAACAGTTAGTGTGCTTAGAAGCATTAAACATTTTTAATGTATTTAATTATTTAATTTTTATATATGGTAGGAGAACTTTCACGTTACATAACTTATAAACAATTAGCTAGTTGTTGCATAAGCAGATAAATTTCCATTATAGGTACCGTCGGATACCCTATAAAGATTACATAAGTATAATAATGATTACCGTAACAAGCCGAGTCGATGTAGCCATGCGACTGTCTTATATACTTAAATTAGTCTAGTTTAGAGAATATCGATCTGAATTTTGCAGAAATCCTTTCTTGCACACAATGGCAGGCGTTCTCACTGAAAACTGCCCAATAGGCATTCATGCGGAATGTTAAAAATCTTGTCGGACGCAAGTTGTCAAATTTGTATGGAGTGGGGTGAGGTGGAGACTTCCAAGCACTATCTCCTCCATTGACCAGCTTTTGTTAGACTGAGGTTAAAATATCTCGGCGAACCAGGAGACATAGCCGAAACTAGCATTAGCCGTCTCAACAAATTTGTGATAAACTCAAAGCGCTTTGTCGTTTTGTGAGGGTCTTAGGTTCAATTATATGTATAGGAGTGTTAGGTACCACAACAGACTGCACCGAACCTTTTCTGTCCAAGAAACTGCTCATTTGTTAGATATCGGAACAAATCTTCATAAAATTTGACATATTTGTATTAATGGAAGTGACAATACTGTTTGTGGTAATTTTTTGCTTACAGTGCTTACAAATATATATTTTTACTGAGTAAAGCGCCTCAAATATAATTGCTCAAACATAATATTTTATAAAGGTCAGTAGTGATATACTTTAAAAATAGTTTTTACATCAAACAAATTAACAAAAAAAATAATAAAATAATTTTTCCTTATTTGCGCATTTTTATTTATTTTGTATAGAGTATTTGCAGTTTTGAAAGGGTGCATTGGGTCAATGGCAACACCATTAATAACCAAATTTAAGATATTTAAGTGTACACTTGTATTTAAAATTGAAATGTAGCTGAACAATCGGCGCTTAAAATTGTAAATTTGAGACGTAGCTTAAAATATTAATTCAGAGATTTTGTAACACTTACTAACTAGTAATATAAAAGTATGCGCTAATTAAAAGCATAATATAGACTACGTAGCACCGAGTGGTGGGCATTATGGATATGACATTTGTTATTGCTGTTGTTTTTTATTTTTACTTTTTTTTATTTTTATTGTTTTTATTTTTTTATATTTTTTTTTTGTTGTACTACACTTTTTGACCTCTGTCAACGTCGCCCTTTCAAAAGCATAAACACATAGCCTTCAATGTGCACTTAAAGCGAAGCCTTAGCAAATTCTCAAGCAATGGGGTTTGATTGTATGCGTGTGCTTGTATGTTTGCGCTGCTACGTGGCTTAAGCGCCATGGACCTATACTCATAATTGACCAGGCGCCACACGATTTTCTCATTTGCATTTTTGGTCTAACGAACAACTGTTTTTGATATGTTTTCCGACAAGATTTTTCGTTTACGATTTCTTTTTGTATTTGTTAAATGCAAATGCAGTGCACTGCATAAGAGTTTAATGTGCGTGTGTGTGGCATATTTTAAAGTATATTAATTTGTTGTTGTTTTCGGTGAGAAATTGTAAATATGTGGAAAAAAGTTGACTGTGGAAAAATGCGATTGCAAATATGCAAAAATGTTTGTGTGTGCATATATAAAGCAAGCTAAATATGCAAGCCTAGAAATGCAGTTTTTGTTGTTATACACATATACATATGTTTGTATCCATAAAATGCAAATGCTAAGTGCTGGCATTTTTTATTTCAGGCGAATGCTGGCGTGTGAGACACTGGCGACTATGTAAATATACAAACAAGTATATGTTAATATATTATATTATGTATATACATATGTATGTATATATTTATATATGTACATATGCATATGCAAGTGTATACTCATATGTATGTTGGGGAAACCGCAAACCTGGTCATTAATGTCACCGCACAGCCACTGCTGCCGCCATCAATAACAACAATTACAAAAAAACACAACAACAACAAAAGCAAAAACAGACAAACATACACAAATATGTGCTTATAGCATGGCAAAACATATAAACTATGCATTTATTTCTATAATAGCAAAACTAGTTTATTGGTTTCATTGCATTTTTCCCAAGTGCCGATGCTTTGTTGTTTTTGCTTTAACACTTTTTGTATTTGTATACCCTGAACAGGATATATTAAGCTTGCCATGAAGTTTGTAATACCCAGAAGGAAATATTGAAGACCCTATAAGGTATACATATATAAATGATCAGCGTAACGAGCTGAGTCGATTTAGCCATGCTCGTCTGTCTATCTAGCCGTCTGTCTATACATACTCGAACTAGTTCCTCAGTTGCAGAGATATCGATCTGAAATTTTGCACACGTCCTTTTCTCCGCAAGAAGCTGCTCATTTGTTAGAACCGTCGATATCGGACCACTATAGCATATAGCTGTCATACAAACTGACTGCTCAAAATCAAAATAAAGATATTTTTATACCCTTTTATGCTTTAAGAAATTCACCTGTGAAGAGTATTATAGCTTCGGTGCAATCGAAGTTAACGTTTTTCTTGCTTTCAAATTTTTTCTTTTTTTTTTTCTCCATCGTACACAATGCCACACACATATTTCATTTGTTTTCTCTTTTTTTCCGCTGCTGCCAATTCCAATTCCGATTCCATTTTCGATTTGTTGTTTGGGTCAATGTTATGCAAGCGATTTGCATTTGTTTCACTTTTTCTATTTTCTAGCAGAAAGCAATGCTTTGGCGTCTACTTTTTCGCAGCCAACTTCACGCTGTGCGTTTAAAGTTGTTAATATTGTCTTATTTTACATTTTAATAATGATTTTCGTTGTAATACAACGTCGATACAGCAATAATTAAAATAAAAACAACAACAACAAATGTTGTATTAATTCATCATAACCGCATTTTTATGCTTTCTTTGCCGGCGACGCCGAAATCATCATTAAGCTTATAAATATTTAAGACTTTAGCGTTAGCTAATTTTGGTTGTTGTTGTTTAAGTCGTAAGACGATAGCGTAAAAGCAAAATTTATAAAAAGTTATTTAATATGTATTTTATTAAACATTTAATTTTGTTTTGTTTTCTTTGCATTCCAGCGTGTTGGCGGCTTTAAATGTCGGAACTAATGAGGCGCGACGCAACGGTGAGAAATTTTCGTGTGAATACATAAAAACCTATATGCCGAAGTATTTATTTAAATGTGAACATATACACACAACTATAGTGTGCAAACATATACAAGTACATATACACATACATATATATGAGTAAATAAAAAATTGTTTATGGAAAAAGAGGGTTTTGTGGTAAAACATGTAAAAAGAGATATAAATTGAATTGCTTGGAAGTAATTAAAGTTAATTGACATTGAAAACTATAAATTTTTTCAAATTTCTAAAAACTAATTTACTGAAAAATTTGAAATAAAAATTAAAAATTATTAAAATATTTTAAATAAAAAATTAAAATTTATTATAAAGATAATTTAAGCAATAACCAAAACGAAAATCAAAAATAAAAATAAATGATATATAATATATTTATTAATAAAGTTAATCGATAAAAAAATATCAATCAATTTCGAAAAAAAAATTAATTCAAAATATGGGAAAAACTATTATTAAGTATTAAAATTCAAAGTCTAAAAAAAAAAAAATGAATCTATAGAATAATAAAAAATAAAAAAGTTAAAAAGATAATTAAATTAGTTAATTAAATAATATATATACACCCATATAATAATTTAATAAAAAACAAGAAAAAATGTTAACTTCGGTTGCACCGAAGCTATAATACCCTTCAAAAATACAAAAAATGGCTAACAAGAACTTGAATTTGGTCGGTCAGTTTGGATGGCAACTATGTGCTATAATGATCCGATCTGTAAAATTTCTTCAGATATTGCTCTATTGCCTTAGACAACAACCCACGCAAATTCCATGAAAAGTTTTCCACACAAGCACTTGATTAGGATCGCTCAGTTTGTATGGCAGCTATACGCCATAGTGGTCCGATATCGGCAGTTCCGACAAATGAGCAGCTTCTACGGAAGGAAAGGACGTGTGCAAAATTTCAGATCGTCATGCTGATCATTTAGATATATATTATATTTTACAGGGTCTCTGACGTATTCTTCTGAATGTTACAAAATTTGTGGCAAACTTAATAAAGCCTGTTCAGGGTATAAAAGTTAATAAGATAAATCAACGAAAAGACCAACATAAACGGTTTCAGATGAAAATTGTAATCTTGGTTTATACTTATACGGTATAGAGCCAACGGGAAGTTTAGAATTTTTATATAAGTTATATGGGGAGGGTGTGTTATAAGAGATGTATTGACCCGATTTTATCCAGTTGTAGTATTACGATCATTACCAATAATAAATATTCTCTGAGTTTCGATAAGAGCCTCACATGTTGACCAATATATAAGGTATAATGTTAAGAGGATGTTTGAAAAGCCCTTAAATTAGGTATATGGGGGCTGGGGGCCGATTTCCTACGATTTGATTTATTTTAGGCACAGGGAACACTGTTATTAAAAGCAGATTTTCTCTAAAGTCTATTAAGAAACGAGTACCTAACATATTGATCGATATATGGGATAAAAAATCAAATAGAATTTCGGAAATATTTATATAAGGTATATGCAGGTATTGATCCGATTCAATTTATTTTTTGCACAAAGGCGTGCTGTAAACATAAAAATATTCTCTCCTGATTGAAATACTAGATCTCACAGATTTACCGATATTTTCAACAAAATGTCAGCAATATAGACCGGTGTTCACAAATTCGATATCTGGGGGGGATATAACGTTAGTAGTTTTTAATATATTTGCATTCAACTTAGCATTAGACGAAGTCACGCCCAATTTGCAAAAGTTTTCAACCCGTAGATGCCCCTCCCCCTGCAACTCGCTGTTCAACATTGCAGTTTTGTATTTTTACTTGTGGCTTAGTTATGTCAATTTGTAGGTTTAACAGCATTTTGTGGGCGTGGCAATGGTCCGATTCAGCTCATCTACAATACCGGACTTATTTTGCCAAGGAACACTCGTTTCATCAAGATATCCAAATCTTCACTCAAGTTATAGCTTATACAGATGGTCGGACGGATGTCATCCTGATCATATACATATATATATATACATAACTCCATATCTATGTTGATTAGTTTTAGATGTTACAAATAACCGTTAGATGAAGAAAACTACAATATTTTGTAGCAGTTTAATTATAGAAAATTAGTTACCAAGATATAATATTAAAAATAATAATTTCCGTTTATCATTTTCATTAATCATAGTTCGCGCACTTATGTATACGAGTTTATTTTATCTGTCAGTATTAAAATCTTCTATAAATAAAATTTTCTACGGAAAATATGAATTCTAGACCATTACTCAACCTTTAAAGTATTTTTATTCGATAATTATCGCTCAACGATAAACTGTAGTAATTCAACAACAAACAGCTGTAGTTTATAGTCACAGCAATACAGTAGTAGACAATGTCATGGCACTCAGTTATTGTGGGAATATGAATGAGATTTTTTATAAATACGCGCTCGTTATAAATTGATTTCTATATAAATAAAAAATGCATGCAATTTATAACTCGACTCTTTTATTCTCACACATATAATATAATAATATAAATAAGCAAATGAGTATTGAACTTTTTATTAGCCGTCGACTTTCTATTTCCACAGTCAGTGCGCCATGGCGTATGAGTAATAATATTTATTGGAGAATTCAATGAACCATGTAACAGTATTTAAATCAATACATAAATAAGTAGTTAAAAAGTTGTATATATTCACTTCAAAGTAATATTTCACAGTTAAAATCAATTAGTAAATGTTAGCAACAACAACAATGCAGTTTTCAGCTTAACATACAAATTGCATTAAATTAATGAAAGAGAAATATTAAATCGGATAATTGCATTAAAAAGGTAATATAAGCAAAAAGGAATAAAATAAAAATAGCGAAAGCAATATTTAGGCAAATGTGAGATTCACCGTTATGAGTATGTGAGCGTGAAGCAACCAAAAGTTAATAAATAAACAAAATAAAATATTTCAATAATAATATTAAATCCAATTAAATACTTCTTTAGAGGGAAAAGTGCACAAAGCAACGAACGCTAATGATGGAAATAGTACAGAAAATCATATCAACAACAACAACTGCCAAAAAACTGAACAAAGTAAATAAATTAATTGAGAAAAAGTTTGTAGTTGCAAATAAAAAATGTAAATAATTGCCACAAATAAATGTTATAATAAAAAGTAACCGCTTTGTTGTTGTAGCATTGTAAATTTTAACGAATGCCGCATTTTAATATTGATGGTAATAACGGTAACTAATTTCCTGCATGTTTTTTCTTAATTTACTTCGTGCTGCCAACTTTTTTGCTATTTTTATATTATTGCCACATTTTTTAGTTTTGTTGTGACTTTTTTCGTTAATTTTCGTGATTGTTGATTTGGTCAATCGGCAGCTCATATTTATATAATAACAAGCAAAAACGATTGAAAAGGAAGTCGCTGTAGGCGAAAAGAAGGAAAGAAAAATTTGTTGTGGCTGTTTGTTGTTGCAAATAAGTTGTTTTGTCGGACTTTATATGTATATACAAGTGAAGACAAAAATTAAATAATATAAAATGTTTGTTAATTGAATAAAAATGTATGTATTTGTGTAGGTAAATTATTTCGATAGACAATCAAAAAATCAACAAAGAATTTACTATAATTTTTGTGATGAGAAATATTTATTTAATTATTTATTTTTTAATTAAGGACTTTAATGAATTTCATAATAATATGGTATAAGGAAGTTAAACATCTCTTAAAATAATACTTTTTTTCGATAAATATTAGCAGTTAAACCACTAAATTACTTCTTTCGCACCAACAAGGGCATCTGTTTTGTATAAAAGCTGTCAACTTTTTATAAAGTTGCTTATTTTCCTTTTGTAGGCTTACCTTTGAGAACATTTAATTTGTTCTTTCAAAGATGCATTAAATAATTTACGATGTGCCGGTATGAAATCAAATACTGATTTTGAATGAGAAAGTAAAAAAAAATATTAAAAGTATTGACCATTGCCAGATATAAACTCAAATAATAATCATAGAACAATGTATTAAAAATAAAATTTTCACGTATTTGAATAAAAATCTGTATAATCGCCTTTACAATAGTCTCTTTTTGAGCCAATAAAAGCATGCCAACGCTAAACCCAATTTTGCATTCTCGTACATCTCATTTCATAAGCCCTCGTCTAGTCTCCAGTATTGATGCGTTTGATCAATGTAGGAACCTAAGACTACGTTGTCAAGCATCATTTCTGCAGCCTATACATGACGTCGTTTGAATTTGAATTGATCCAAAAGAAAAATTGAGATCCTTTGCTATCTTCCTGATGCCAAAACGACGATTTGCAAGCTGTTTCTTTAACTTTTTCGATGTTATCGTCATTAAAATGAGTGAATGGACAATTCACATGAGGCAAGTTTTCGATGTCTTCGCGACTTTTACTGAGCAATTTGTGCCATTCAAATACTTGTGTTCGCGATAAACAATTCTGCAACAATTTCAAGCATTCTGTAGCCGTATTTTCATTGGAAACACAAAATCTCAAGCAAACTCGTTGTTAAATTTTTTTGCATAGTCAAAATCGTCAGACAAACCTCTGAAGTCTACCTGAGATCTGTTTTTTTTTTTTTGAAAGTCGTTTTAACCACATTCTAACCGTTGTTCAGTTCTCTAGAATGGTATGAGATGACTTTATAGGAACCGCGTTCAAAATTAGACAGTGGGCGTGGCATAGCCGACTTTTAAATGAAAACACATATCTTGGGATATGCTTAACCGATTTCAACCAAATTCGGTACATAACATTCTTCTCATATTTCTATGTTATCATGCGAAAATGGGCGATCGAATTACAACCACGCCTATTTCCCATATAACACCATTTTAAATTCCATCTCGAACTAAATCGAACCAAAACTGTTCAAGCCCCTAGGTACTGAATATATGGACTCCAGCGCCTATAGTTGACTATTTACCGAAAATATCGGTCATTGTGTAAGATAATTGAAATTCATATAATATAATAAAATAAATAAATGAAACTCTAAATAATAGTATGTTTTAGTGTCAAAAATGGGTTGAATCGGGTCAATACCTCCTTTAATATAAAATTTTGCCAACACCTAAAGTAATTTCTCGGGCTTTGATCCTTGTAAGTCGCGAGAGTATAAAATGTTCGGTTACACCAGAACTTAGAACTTCCTTACTTGTTTTTTATAAAATTTATTACTAAAACCACTAATTATTTTATGAGATATGATCAA